GTGGAACAGCAGGTGAGGTGGGGGGCGGCCCGGAGGAGCAGGGCCTGGGGCATCCCCACCCACTCGGACCCTTGCCCGGAGCCTGCACCCGGGGGCCGGGCCGCCGGGTCCCCCGGCCCAGAGGCCGCTCCCGGCCGCGGCGAGAAGGCCGCAGGCCGGCGACGGTGCGGGAGGAACCAGGCCACACGCGGTCCGGGTCGAATCACTGTGTTTTACTAAGTGCGCAGGGCCCCTGGGCACCGGACCCATCCGGTCCCCGTGGCAGTAGAACGTTCCAGAACTTCGCACGAGCGTCCCGGCCGCCGGATTCCACGCCCAAGTCCCCCAGGCCGGCGCCAGGCCGGCTCTCACCGCACACGTGCGTCCGCCCGACCGGGAGTGGAGCGTGCGGGCTGCCCGCGGGTCCTGGGCACCGCCGCTCCCCGGGCGACGGTGCTTGGACACCAGCGACACGGTGGAGGCGCGGCGCGAGGTGGCAGCACGTTCGAGGGGAAGAGGCCCGGTCGCTCCGGCGCAGGGCGCGGGCCGGGGCGCAGGGCGCGCACGCAAGGCATTGGGGGGTATTCTTTGGAGCATGAGCAGAAGAGCAGACACAGCCAAGGCAACAGCGCGGGTGGGGGCCGCGGCCGCCCTCAGGCCGGCGGGAGACCGCGGGCGGGCGGGCGGGCGGGGGGGGCGGTCCAGGCGGACGTGCGGGGAGCCCAGGCCGGTCGGCGCGAGAGGAGAGGCCTGCCGGCTCTGTGCCCTCGGGGGGACGGGCCCTGCCGGCCACCAGCGGGGGGGGGGTGTGAGGTGGGTCCGGGGCGTGCCTGGCGGTCACCCAGGGCTCACCGGCGACCTCGGTCAGTCCCCTCGACGTGCGTTAAGGCAACAACTTTATGAAACCATCAGAGTCCGGGGCGCGGCCCACGGTGACAGGGGCACACCTGCCTGCGAGCCCGGGGCCAGGGCCACCCCCGGGGGGCCCCTCCTGTGCCGATGTCCTCATCAGCCGGGGTCACCCTCATAAGCGTCCAAGACAAGAGACCACCCAACTCTCCTCCCCAACCCTACAAATGTCCGTGAAAGGCCGTGAGGAGGGGTCCCACCTGCCAAGGAGTGTCACTTTCCCACTCTCTACCCTGTTTCCTAAAGCCTCCCGCCGACCCCCCGCCCCACCCCACAGAGCAGCCTCCGGGGCCAGCCCCCCACTCCCAGGGCCCCTGTGTGCCCCAGGGGTCACACGGCTCCTGGCCCCAGGCCGCCAGCTTCCCCAGGTCCCTTGGAGAGAGGAGAGGCACGGCCCCACTCCCACCACTGCTGCCTCCAGGAAGCCTTCCTGGGTTGTTTCTGCTTCCCGGCTGGGGGGCCCACGGGGACCCTGCCCCTGGGGACAGCCGAGCAGGCCCCTCGGGCCCTGGGAGCAGGCGGCCCACCCCTGCCGGCCCTCCGCCCGTCCTGCCCCCGGCCCAGAGTGACTACACACAGACAGGCGGCCTGCAGTCCGGCTTGGGGGGTGGGGCACAGAAAAGTGGGCTGGGCCGTCCCCGCTGAGAGTGGTCTGTACATTATTTACAACTTGGGTGAATACAAAACCAACACAAACACCAACGTTTCTGCAAAGGCCCCCAGTGCCCATCACCCCCTGGACTTTGAGAAGCATCTAGAAACATCTCAGCGCCGAGTCCTTTCCACAAAGACGGGAGCCTGAAGTCCGGGTGTCCCCTGAACGTGGGGGGGTGACAGAGAGGGGGGCCTTCTCCCGTGTCAACACCTCGAGTCCACAACCTTGGGGTGGGGCGGGCGGCCTGGCTGGGGAGAAGGCAGGTCCCTGGGCTGGCACTCGGATGACGCACGAGGGACACAGGGCCGGGGACGGCTCTGGGCTCGGACGTGGGGACCGCAGGGTGCGTGGCCCCCGCGGAGCCTGGGGTCCTGCGGTCAGGGGGGCCGAGTTGCCGAGTGGGCTGCTGTGGCCTCCGGTGGGGCCGGGCCAGACAGGCAGGCCAGAGGGAGCCCCCTGCCACCAGGCTGGCCCCTGCCCCTCCAGGTGGCCTGTCTGGGGCCTCGGCTCGTGACTCGACGTGGACAGAAGAGGCGGGTGTTGAGCCAATGCAGGGAGAGGCGGCCCCACCTTGGTGGTGACTCGGGGCCAGGCCCCGCGGCCACGGGGGCAGCGCCCGACGTTGAATCTGGACCCCCCACAGGGGCCAGGGCAGGTCGCCCCAGGGCGTCGCCACCCGACCACTCCAGACAGCTGCTGACCGGACAAGGGGGGCAGCGTGGGACCCTGGGGGGCACCCTGGGCCCTCTACCGCTCCTGCCCAGGAGCCGGGGGGCCAGACCTGCCCCAGCTTCCACCTCGCAGGACCCCCGTGCTCCTGAGGCCCCTGACTCCTCGTGCCCCACAGCAGACAGAGGGAGGCCCCAGGGCTGCCCAGTGCACACGTGAGCGAGCGTGGGTGTGCGTGTGTGCACACTGCACGTGTGTGGTGCGTGTTCGTGCTCCTTTCTGTGCGTAGGAGCGTGAGCACAGGCATGCGTGCGTGGCGTGGGGCGTGCACTCTGGCTGACGGCCGACACACACACACACCTGCCCTGGGAACGCCGCCCGGCCGCCTGGGCTCACGCGTGTGCGCCTGGGACAGCGGTGCTCCCGAGGTGGGGGCCCCACGCCCGGGACAGGCACCTGGGGGACGTGCGCCACCCAGGCCTGGGGGCCCCTGAGTGGGACCCCGACCCCACCCCTCCCCAGACCACCCCGCAGCCCCTGCTGCTGCGGCCGCTGAGGCTCGCCCGGCCCGGCTCCCGCAGCTGGCCGCGCCGCTCGGGGACCGGGGACGCACAGGACAGGGGGCAGGACGGAACCTACCTCTCCGGGGGACAAGGGGCCCCTCCGCCCATGCCAGCCGGATGTGACGGGGACACAGGGCGGTTGCTGGCCACCCACCGTGACCCTCCTGGGGTCGGGGGCAGATGAGCCTGGCTCGGGGGCCTGCCTGCTGGGCCCGACTGGGGCGCACAGCTGGGCCCCCTCCCCAAGGCCCCGCCCACCTCACCCAGAGCGGGCGGAGAGGGGAGCGGCCACTGGCCCACCACGGGCCCAGGCGCCTGCCCTGGAGGGACCCCCTCGTCACTGCGGGGCCTGAGGCTGGAGAACGCGGCCCTGGAGGAGGGGCAGACACGGCGCAGCCTGGGGCCGGGGTCCTCATCCGTCCCTGGCCACACGGCGGCTTCCGGGCCTGAGTCTGCCCGGGAGGCTGCGCTGGGCCCCCCGCCCCAGGCTCTGCCCTCCGGCCAGCTCCCTGCCCTCCAGCCGCCCGAGCCCCCCCCCCCCCCGGGGTGTCCTGGCAACGATGAGGGGCAGGAGCAGGGGCGGCAGCGATGCGGTGACCCCCTGTGGACAGCAGACGCCACCCCCACAGACCTCCGGGCACCAGCACCCCAGCACCCAGGACCCTCAGGCGCTGTTTGAAAGCCCTTCCCAGAGGGCAAGACGACGCCTCTCGCTGACCGCCCGGGCCCCAGCCAGTCCGGGCCCAAACAGGCGGCGGCAGGAGGCAGCGCAGGCTCTCCCTGGCCCCAGCGCTCAGGGCAGCTGCTCCACGGTGGCCCCAGGGGGCCCGGGCTCGCTGCCCACTGCCCCGGCGCCAGGTGCCCGCACCGCCTGCGGGGGCCACGCACCCTCGGGCCCCCGGCTCCGAGGTCCTCGGGCCAGGAGGGGGGCCCTGCTCCCTGGGTCCCGGGCTGCGGATCAGTGTCCCCGGCTCCCAGGACACCACGGGGCCACAGCTGAGGGCCCGTCAGTGGAGAGCGGGTGGGGGTCGGTCGGCTGCAGCGGGGAGAGGAGGGACAAGGTGGAGCAGGGGTCCCCACCCCCCTGGGGCGGTGGACCGGACGGGGGCAGGCCCGGGGCCTGTCGGGACAGGGGCCGCACAGCAGGCGGGCGGGGGCGGGGCACGGAGCTTCGATGGAACCGCCACCCGAGCTCCGTCTCCTGCCCGCCCCCGCCCCTGGTCCGTGGAGAAACCGTCTTCCACGAAACCTGTCCCCGGTGCCAAAAAGGTCGGGGGCCGCTGGCCCAGAGGACAGAGCTGCCTCCACCCAGGGGCCCCTGGGGGCTGTGACAGCTTTTCCCAGTCGTCACAGCCTCACCCAGACCTGGTCCTGTCGGGGCACCACAGGGGCGGGGGCCGGTGGAGCGGGACCCCAGCAGAGGACAGAGGGGGCGTCTGCTCACCACACCGCCCAGTCTCGGGACCCTGGAACGCGAGCCCAGCCCAGGGCGGTGCCCCCCTCCGCCCAGCACCCCTTGCCCCCACTCAGGTCTCTGTCGCAGTGCTGGCATGGCCTGGGGGCTGGCAGGGCAGAGAGGACGAGGGGAGCCCACCCCCGAGATCTCCTGTGATTGGGAGACCCCCTTCCGGAAGCCCAGTGGGGCAGGCTCCCCTGTGGAGCTGAGACCGGGGGTCTGGGGGTCGCCATGCTCCCCCGTGGTCCCAGGGCCTCGCCCTCCTCTCCAGGCTGGGGCCCTGGACGCAGGGGGAGGACAGGACGACACTGACCAGAAGCTCTCTGGATGGGCACCCCTAGGCCAGGGGACATCGTCCCAGCCGGGCCCATGGACAGGCCTGCCCCTCGCCCGGCACCGCGCAGCCCGGCGCCCCCACCCTGCGGCCGTGGGCCGGCGTCTGCCATCTCCCTGCCTGCTCTGCTCACACCTGCCCGCTCACACCTGCCCCCTCACACCCGCCCGCTCACACCCACCCGCTCACACCTGCCCCCTCACACCCGCCCGCTCACACCTACCCGCTCACACCCGGCCTCCGCCGGCGGAGTGGGCACAGCCGCCCGGCCGCCCCGCCGGAAAAGGACCCCCGTGCGCCTCCACCACGGAGACCGAGCAGCCCCCCGCGCACCGCCGCGCCCGGCACGGGCGCCGCCACGGACCCCCAGGAACGGCCCCGAGGGTCCCGCCCGGAAACCTCAAGGTGGACAGTCGGGAAGAGGCCGCCGGGGCCTCACTTCCGGGGCGCGGCCCAGCCCACGTCGCCGAAGGGGCCCTCGCCCGTGGCCGAGCGCGGCGGCGGCCCGCAGGGCGTGCAGAGGTCCGAGTCCGTGTCCGACTCGCCCTCGGCGATGTAGGGCCGGACCTTGGCGCAGGGGGCCAGGACCGCGCAGCCGGCCTGCAGCGCGTCCAGGTTCTCCCTGGACTGGGAGATGCTGAAGCCGCTGAAGGAGCGCTCCAGCTCCTCGTGGTCCACGGACGGGATGGAGATGGACGTGTCGCTGTCCCGCAGTGCGCCCTCCTGCGGCCGGCCCGCCGGCGCGTCCTCGTGCCGCAGGAACTCCGTGCTGGCCCGGTGGCCCCCGCTGTAGGCCGACAGCGAGCGCTCGTGGGCGGGCGGCGGCGGGATGCGCACCAGCGCGCCGTGGTCCCCCACGGGCGAGGTGCCGTGGCCGTGGCGGGCGTGGCCCTGCTGCTGCCAGGAGGTGGAGGGCGGGCACTGGGCGGGGGGCGCGGCCGGAGGCGCCGAGAAATTCTTGTGGCCGACGGAGCTGGTGGAGCGGATGAGCTTGACGATGCAGCCGCCGCGGTCCCCGTGCTCCCGGCTGTCCTCGGGGCTGTGGTAGGGCGGCGCCGGCTCGGGCTCCTTGGCGCCGAAGTAGGCCTCGGCCTCGGACGGCAGGATGCCCATGCGCTGCGTGTAGATGCCGACCAGGAAGTCCAGCTTCTTCTCCATGGACAGGACCTGCGGCGGCGGCGGCGGCTGAGCGGGCTGCCCCCACCCGCCCTCCGACCCCCGCCCTCCGCCCCCCGCCCTGTCACCGCGTGAGGCCTCGGCCTCTCCGAGCGCGGAACCGCCCCCCACAGCGAGCCTGGCTTCCCGCCCCCCACCGCAAGCCCCCCCTGCAGAGCCAGCACCACGGAGGGGGGCACCGGCCTCCCCCCTCAGCACCAGCAGCCAAGCCGGGCGGAGCCTTGTGTGTGGGTGCTGAGCACTCGCCCCCGGGACGGGGCGGTGGGGCGAGGTCCCAGGTGTGACAATGGGCCACCCACAGGGCCCGAGTCCACCGTGTCTCTCAGTGGCCCGAGGCAAGGGGCGGGGGAACAGTGCTCCCGCCCCAAGGGCCTGCGGCCACGGCAGGAGACATGCCCACCACCAGGGAGGGCTCAGGGCTGCGAGGTGTCCAGCCGCAGCACCCTGAGCTGTGTTGTGAGGGCCCCACGTCCCTGAGGCTCCAGGACCCCTCCCGCAGGCAGCGTGCACCCCAGACCCCCGGGGCGAGCAGCCGGGGGCCCTCCCGGCCTGTCCCACCTGCTTCTCCACCTTGCCCAGCCGGCCCATCATGCTGGGGTCCTCGGGCAGCTCCGCCTCCGCCGGGCCCTTGGTGCGGTCCTTGTCCGTCATGGCCGGGCCCCGCCCCACGATCTGGTCCACTCTGCGGGGGGGAAGGGCCCACCCCCCAGCATGAGTTCGGGTGGGTGTGGCGTCCCGCGGCCCCCTCCTGGGCCGGGCCGCACCCCGCCGTCCAGGCACCAGGCCGTGCCCAGAGCCAACGCGGGGACAGCAGCTGCCAGGACGGGTGGACGCCGGGCACCTGCTCTCACCTGGCTCTGGACCCTCGGGGCCTGTCCCCCGTCCACCCCATTCCAGCGGCGGCCCATAGCACCGAGGCACATGAAGGTGTCGGGGCCCCCCACCCCACGGCTCTGCGCCCCCAATCCTCCCCGACCGAGCCTCCCGCCTCCGTCATGTGCCCGGAGCCCTCTGCCCGGTCGGCCCGGTGGGGACAGAGGCAGCGGTTGGTCTGCAGCAGCGACAAGAGAAGCGGGGGAGGGGACAACAGAAGCAGGGGGGGACGGACGGAGGGGACGGTGAGCCGGGCACCATGCACCAGGACGGGGGCGGGGGACACAGACCGGCACGGAACCTGCTCACGCACAACCACAGGGGACAGACAGAGCCACCACCGCCCAGAGAGGGTGCCTGCGTGTGGTCGCCTCCCTGCACAGTGGGCCTGCGTGTGTACACGTGTTGTGTGTGCATGCACACAGCAGTGTGCCTGCAGCGTGTGCGTTGCAGGTGTGCACGTGTTTTCACCACCTATCATGTTGTGCATATGAGTGCACTCGTGTGCACATGCGTGCTGGGTGTGTGTGTGCACACATGTGCACACACGTGTGCAGGTTGTAGCACACGGCTGAGCTGAGCTGGAACCAGGCCTGAAGTCCTGAATGCCGGCGAGAGGAGGGGGAGGAGGAAGCTTCCTCCAGGGAGGGGCTTCCGAGTGACCCGCGGGGTGTCCCCCGGCCCCACGCGGAGCAGGGTGGCTCAGAAGAGGCCGCAGGAGCCCAAGTGTGGGGACACCCCTCAGAGTCGGGGGCCTGGCGGTCTGCAAGCTGCGGGGTCAGCTCCTGAGAGCCCACCGGGGGCCTCAAAGCAGGGCAGGGCACCAGGCCGAGGCCTCGCAAGGCCCCCGTGTGGCCGGAAGCCGCCCCCCCCGCCCCCCCCCGCCCCGCCTACTTCTCAAGCTCGGGGGCTGGGCCGAGGGCGGGGCCTGGGCCCTGCCTGGGCTTCCTTCCTGACCCAGGGCCGCCCGGCCCGTCTCTGTGGGGACTCGGGGCGACTTTCCTCTCTGTCGCAGGAAGCAGAAGAGGGGTTCGGGCTGCGAGCCACGGTGCAGCCTCCTCATGCTCCGCTGGGCTCCATGCTGGGCTGGGCTCATGCACCGAGGGGCAGGGGCGGGGTCGGCAGGGGCGGCCCGGGGCTCCAAGCAGACTAGGGTGCGGGGCGGACAGGGAGGAGGGGCTCTCGCTGTTTCCGTGCGTCCGTCCGGCCCAGGCACTCCTGCTCAGCACCTTCGCCCCTGCCACATGACGGGCCGCCCGCCTGGCTAGTTCCCCCGGGAGCCGGGGCCCAGGGCTCAGCCGGCTGCTGCTCCCGCCGGGGCGCGTGGACAGGGTTCCCCAAGGAGCCGGTGCGAGCCAAGATGGTCCTTCTGACCCCTTCCCTGCGAGGCTGTGACCTCGGGCCGAGGCGGCCGGGAGGCCTGCCCCGCTCCTGGCTCTCTGCAACGCTCGGCTCTGGGCCCCTGCACCGGGGCCCGGAAGGATGGCTCGGGGCTGGGGGAGGTGGCGCCCAGAAAACACTGTCTGGGGGGGGCCCGGGTCGGGCCTGCCCCGCAGGAGCACCGGGTAGAGACACCTCAAGTGCTGACCCTTGGCCTCCGGGTGCCCCGGGGCCCCTCGGCTCCCAAGCTGCCGCACAGCCGGGCGTCTGGGTCCCCAACCCGCGCCCCTGCCCCGAGGACTCCACCCTCCCCGGGCCGGCAGACCTGCCCGAGGCCTGACCTGTCCGTCACTGAAGAGGCTGCCTGGGCCGACTCGCCACCTACGTGTGCCCTCACGCGCACTCTGCCGGTCGGTCACACCGGCCGTGGTGCCAAGGGGCTGGGAACGGGACCCGGGGCCCTGCGCTCACTGGGCACCCGCCCCCCCTCCATCCACAGGGGTAAGTGCGACAGAAGCAACGGGACCTGCGTCGGCCCCGCGGGTGGCGGGTGCTGGGGCCTGAGTCGGGCCTGAGGGCTCTGCGAGGAGGCGCCGCGGTCCAGGGCCCTGAAGGCCCTCCCAGCACCCTGGACAGCCCCCGTCCTTGCGGTGCTGGCCTCGGCCTCTACCCAGGGAGCCCACCCGGGAGGACGTCACACAGGGTGTCCTCGGGAAGCTGCCCCGGCCCCTCCGAGGACGCCCCCCACCCCTGGCGGGCCGTGTCCCGTGGGCCGCCGTCATGTGGCTGGAGCGGAGGGGCTGGCTATCGCACAGACACGGGCGGGGCGGCCGGCATCCTGACCTAGGCGAGTACTGGGGCGACTCTCCCGGAGGGGCCGAGGGTCCTTTGGTGGGGTACTTCTTGTGCCGGGGGGTTGAAGGGGGTGGGGGGCCCACAATCATGTCTATCCTGGCAAGTGAACGAGAAGAGAGACACCAGCAAACGCGTCGTGAAGCGACCTGCGGCCGGCGGCCGGCGGCTGGGGCTGCAGACGCGCAGGGAGTGGCCCAGCCCGAAGCAACAGAGGGCGCTTCTCACAACCACGACCACGCAACCACGCCGGGGGCGCCACGCTCGCCGGGGCCTGCCCGTGGGCAAGCGAGCCCGGGCCCCGGCGCTGCCCCGCCAGCGTGCAGGTGCGTGGGGCACAGGGCAGCGGGCCCAGCGCCCGGGGCGCCGGCGGTGACAGCACTCGGGACGGTGGCCCTGACGGACGCCCGGCCATGTGGGGAGCGCTGGGCTCTCCCGACAGAGAGGAGGGGGCGGGAGGGTCCGGGGCCGAGGGGCCTGGTGAGCCCCGCAGCGGCAGCGAGCCCCGCGCGGAGGCCCCCGCAGGCAGCTGCTCTTGCACACGCACACGTGTGCACCCCCCCCGCTCACACGTCCTCACGTGCAGTCTGCTGCTGTACACACGTGCACACCCACCCATACATCACACACAGACTCGTGTGTGCACGTTTGCTTGCACACTCGCACAGCACACTCAGTCGTGTGCATGCTCACAGGTCGTTCACACGCACCCTTGGGTGTTTGCACACACCCAACATGTTTGCACGCACTCACATTTGCTCTCCACACTGTCAAGTCTCCCCCTTGTGCACAGCGGTGCACACACTTGCTCACACACAGCACAGGCCTAGGCGATGCTCTCGGGGCCCTGAGCCCAGGGACAGGAAGGGGTCCCTCTCCCACCCCCGCCCGCGGGCAGGGTGAGGCTCACAGAGACCCCTCCCCCCAAATCCGGGGGCAGGACGGGGCAGCCCAACGAGGGGTGCGCCGACCTCGCTCCTCCCGAGGGCAGGGAGCAGGGTTGCCCCCCAGGACGGCCCCCTGACCACGCAGACCTGCCCGCAGCCAGGGCCCAGGCCCCCCGGGGGGCGGCTGTGTCGGAGGGGCTGCGGGCGGGAGGCTCCGACAGGCAGGAGCACGCGCCCCACTTCAGGAGGGCACGACTGCCCCGTGGCCTGCTCACACACATGTGTGCGAGGCTTGTGTGTGCACTCGGAGGGTGGGTGTCTAGGAGCACGTGTGTTCTTGGCGGGTGTACATGTGGGTGGGCTTACAGGGCACATGTATGCGGTCACCAGGCTGAGAGCATGTCTGTGTGCACACGGGTGTGCTGGCACACGCACGTGCACCAGCGTGGGCAGGGGTCTGTGTGTGCACTGCATACACACCTCTTCCAGGTGTGCTTGTGTGTGCCCCAGGCCCGTGCTCTTGTCCACACTCGTGCACATACAGGGGGCTTCTGGGGTGAGCACGCCACACACCAGCCCAGCACGCGTGTGCCCCGGGTCGGCCCTGCCTCAGAGGTGCTCCGGGCAGGGGGAGCCCCGGCCTGGCCGGAGAGGCACACGGCTGACGCCCCCCAGCCCCCCACTCAGCGGAGCCCTCTGCTCCCGACTCCCGTGTGCAGGACACGTGCACACACCCACGTGTGCCCACATGCCCCTGCACACACAGGCACACCTACACGTGCACAGAGACCACATGGTGCACTCACACTTGTGCAGCCACAAAGGCGTGCAGGGCACACGTGTGAGCACACACGCGTGTTCACACCCCCCCCCGCAGCGCAGGCGGGAGGGGGCAGGAGGAGAGACTCAGAGATGGGGCACACGGACACGACAGAAACCGCAGGGCTGGCCTCTGTGCCCCCGGGCCCCGCCCCCCAGCACCCGTCCCCCCAACTCCCGGCGCGTCGGCGCTGGCCCCGGGCGGGGGCTCTTGCCTGGACTGCAGGTTTTTGATGCGGGACAGCATGTCCAGGTGGCCGGCCGAGTACTGCTCGATCACGTCCATCACGTCGTAGGGCCGCAGGCTCTCCTTGAACTTGCGCTTGGACACCAGGAACCTCATGACACTGAGGGGGAGAAGGGGGCTGTGAGTTCCCGGCAGAGACCACAGGGCCCCCCCAGGCAGGGCCAGCCCTGGCCCCCGCCTGCCTGGGGCCCTCCCAGGGGCCCCGAGAACGTGCTCTGGACAACATGTCCCTTTCACCTGGGCCACCCGCCCACCAAACACACCTGCCACCCCCGGGCTCAGCCGCACAGCCAGACCCTCGCCCACCTGGCTGTCCACGGGCAGCCCCGGGTGACGGGCAGGGACACTGCGACACCGGGCGCCTTGGGAGCCGCAAGGAGCTGGGACCAGAGCGGTGTCAGCCACAAGGTGACCCCCCCGGATCCCAGGGAGAGTGACCGCGCCCCTTCCTGGGCTCCGTGAGGGGGACGCGCGAGGTCACTCACCACACGGCCCGGATGCTGACTTTGAGGCCCGGGGTCAGGTCCTCGGTCACGAACTCGCAGTTGCAGCTCTTGTTGTCGTCCACGATGTCCTCCCCGGGGAGACTTGCTTCTGGGAGGAAGGGGACACAGCCCATGAGGGGACACAGGGGGCGCGCCCACACCCGGTGACAGCAGAGGGCCATTGGGCGTGAAGAGGGAGGAGACCCGAGAACACGCGTGAACAGAGCCGGGCACTGGAGATGCCGTGTGGCCCGTCCCCCGTGTGATGTGTCCGGGACACGCCCGCGAGGCTGGTGGCTGGACCTGGGGGCGCCCCGGGGTGGACGGAATGCCCGGGAGCTGCACGCCGAGTGCCCCGAACCGTTCGCTTTGAAACGGCTCCTCCAGTGGGACGGGATCTCCCCCCTGCCCGCCCGTGAGAGAAGAGACCGGCAGCGTGGGTGCTGCTCCCGGGGGTGGGCCCTGGGACCGCGGCGGGGGGGCGGGCCGACCCACCTTCCGAGTTCTGCCGCGACGCGGCGCCCTTGACCCGGAAGGCCTGCCGTGCGCGGCTGCGGTCGCCGAAGCTCCAGCTCTTGGGCACCTTGCTCGGGCTGTCCTCCAGGCTCTGGTCGGCGCTGGGCGAGCGCCGGACCGGCTGGGCCTGCGGGGACCCCTTCCCCTTGGCGGCCACGCCGCGGGGGCTGGAGAAGACACGGTCTTTCAAACTGACCTTCTGGCTGCTCCCGGGAGGACGGACGGACACACACAGACACAGAAAGACAGCGAGAGGAGTCACTCTGGGCGGAACCCTCACTCCCGCCGCCACCGGCTCTGAGCGGGCGTGGTCCCCGCGGGAACGGGGGTGGGGGGATGCGGATCCAGCCCCAGAGAAAGGGGCCACCTCGGGGCAGCGGCCAGGGGGCCGGAGTCCGGGTGGGGGGGGGCCGCAGGCCAAGGGAGGCGCCGGGGGCGGTCCGCCCCCCCCGGGGGGCCTGGGCTGGCTCCGGCGCTCAGAGGGCCAGGGCCCCGTGGACTCTAAAACCACGTGTGACCCCGTCCACACGCCCAGCCAGGCCTCCCGCTGCTCCCCGGGCGCCCAGCAGGCTCCCTGTCTGCCCCTCCACACCTGGTGGCCGCCCCAGGGCCGGGGTCCGGTCTGCAGCCGGCCCCTCGGCCCCCCACAGCCCCAGGGAGAAGCGTGTGGAGGGCGGTGTCTGTCCTCCCCTCTGCCCTGGGGGACAGCGTGGGAACCACCCCCCCGTCCCCAGGGCGCAGTGGGAACGGACCGCCCCGCTCCCCGAGGGCGGAGTGGATGACCCTGCTCTGCCCACCCCTCGGCTGCAACGGGCCTGCTGTCCCAAGCCCTGGCCCAAGGCTGCAGGGAGGGGGCACCACAGCCAGCCAGCCACAGCCCTGGGGGGGTCCTCGGCCTTCCTGTCCACACAGCCGGTCACCGTGGAGACAGGTTCCCCTGGGCAGCACCAGGAGACGGGTGGGTCACGGGGTGGCCGGGGCACAGCATCAGGCCGGGCGGCCCCTCACTTCCTCCCGCTGGGCAGTCCCCCAAGGCCCCCGAGAGAGGACAGCAAGGCCCTGTGAGCTGGGGACCCACTCGGGCCTCTCGCTGCCCCGGGGGCTCGGGACAGACCTGCCCCCAGGTGGGGCCTGTGGGCAGCCACCGTGCCAGCGAACACCTCAGGTACCGCCAGCCCCACCGCGGCTGCCCTGGGTCAGCCGCCTCCATCGGCCTCGGCGGGCACCTGCGGCCGAGACACATGACCGGGTGTCGCGGAGATGACTGGCCATGGAGAGGCGGCGGCCGGCCCTGGGCCCACCCAGCCTGGACGCTGTGCCCTGGGTGGGACCCCTCCCCGCCCCGGGCCCCACAGCTTGTCTGTGCTAGTCTGGGGATCCCTGCAGGATGGACAGAAGAGCCCCGTGGGCCCACGGCCCTGAGGGGTGGTGCTCCCCGGTCCTGTGAGCACAGGGCTCGGGGTGGGGGGCGACAGTTTGCTCAGAACAGCAGCCCCAAGCTCCTAACCACTGAACCCGGGGCCAGGCCCAGCCGGGCAGGTGGGGACCAGGGGACACCCAGTGCCAGGCGTCGTGGGGCCTCTGACCACGTGGCCTCTCTCGGGTTCCTGTCCCGACAACGGCCACCAGCTGGCGCAGGGGGAGGCCAGGAGGAGGGACGGCCCTGCCCAGCCAGGAGGGCTGGGACCCAGTGGGACCCACACCCTGTGCCTGAGACAGTCTGGGCTCCCCACTGGAGGACGCCGAGGGGTGGACACCTGGGCCTCCCCGGTCACCTGCAGGCACTCGCTCTCCGGCCCCAGCCACCGAACGCCAGGGTCCTGCAGGGCCCTCCCTCCCTCACCTCACGAGTTAAGGGCCGGAGCCAGAGCATGGGGGGTGGGGGGTGCTCTGGCCAGGGGGCCTTCGCTGGGACGGGGTGGTTTTGAGGCACCGGTGCTCCGGCGTTTACGTGGGGCTGGGATGTGCGGGGAAAGCCGAGGGCCACTCCCTTCCCCACCTGCCAGCCCCCACCCAGGGAGAAAATCTAGATACAGGATGGGGCGGGGCAGCCGAGAACCGGGGGGGGGCGAGTGGGAGGCCCAGCTGAGCTCAGACGCGTCCTGGCCACACACACAGGCCGGCTCGGCGGGCGGGAGCCGGCATCCACGGGGACCTGCTGGCCACGGCTGGCCACGGATGCCCGGGGCAGTGGTGGGGGTGAGGTGGCCCTTGTGAGGCCCATGCACAGCAGCCCTGAAGGCGGCCAGAACCCTGACCGCAGCCCCTGACTGAGGAGCAGCCTGTGGCCCAGCCGATGAGCTCCGGGCCGCCCGGCCGCCCGCCCTGGGGCTGCGAGCCTTCCCCACTAGTGCCTACGTCCGTCCGTGAGCACACAGGTAGCAGGGACAGGTGGGGGGCGGCCCCCAGAGCCCCTCGCAGGGCGGAGAAGGACTCGGAGCATGCACAGGTGCAAGCATGCGGCTGCCGGGGCCCCGGTCCTGCTGCGTGGCCCTCCGGGAGCCGGCCGCTCAGCAGCGACCACATGCAAGTGACCGAAGGTGAGGGCCGCCCACACCTTGCAGGGCTGCGCTGGCCAGGGGGGGAGGCGGGCAGGAGGGGATGCACCTGGAGCAAGCAGAGACAGACACTTCCACGCCCGCCAGCCGACAGTGGACAGAGGACGGGGGGAGGAGCGGCACCCACGGTGCCGAGGGTCTGCCCGGAACCGGGCCTGCGTGTGGGAGGGGAGCCGCAGACTCTGCCTCTCTCCCCGGGGGGTCTGGTGTGCTGGGGCAGCCGGCACACACCGGACAGGGCTGCCCTGGGGCAGCGGGGCGGCGGTTTGGGGGGCCGTCCTCGGGTGCCCAGTAGAGGCGCTGGACCGTCGCCAGGAAGGAGTCGCCCTGAGCGGTGGGACCCCGGGCACCGGCGCCCCCGCTGGGTTTCGCAGCCCCCGGCCGGGCCCCTCCTGCTTGGGGAGGAGGAGCCTGTGAATGGGGGGGCACCTTGCAGCGCCCCGGGCGCAGGCCACAGGCCAAGCTGCCAATCGGAATCGGGGGGCTGAGGGCCGGGGCGGCCCCTCCCTGGCGCGTCCAGAGCCCCTAGTGGGCGGAGTCCGGAGCGGAAGAGCCGTGCAGCAGAGGTCCGAGCCCCGCGTCCGCGGTACCTAGAGTGTCCCGGGCAGCATCCACACAGGCCCTGGCCGCACGGTCTGCCTTTACTGGAAACGAGGAGAGCACAGTTAGTCCCCGGGCGGGGGCCGGCCGGGCAGGCGGGCCGCGGCGCCACGACCCCCCGGCGGGGCGGCGGGGGTGGGGGGTCTGGGCTCGGGGCCCACCAGCCACCGAGCTCGCGTCTGAACAAGGACCGTGAGGCGCTGCCAGGTCAGGTCTTCTGCCGGCCTGGAAGAGAAAACTGTCTCCTATTTTTGGAGAGAAAAAAAATTCCTCGTTTTTTTCCTCCAAAAATACCTTTTCCTTCCAGAGTCAGAGCTTGGGGATCACGTCTTCGAAGAGATGTATTATTTTTTGTTGTTTTCATGCGCACGGAAAAAATAATACATGGGCCGAGACTGTGCCCCAGGGTTCTTTCCGGATGATGCGCAGGTTCCGGAAAGCACGCGTTTTGTGGGGGGGGCCAACGTGCAGTCTGGTTCCGCGGCTGCCTCTCCCCGGTGGGAGGGGGGCCAGAGTCCGCTCATCTCGGGGCCCTCAGTCGGAGGGGGGGCTCTGCAGGAAACGCTCCCCCAACAGTCAGCCCCCCGGGGCCTCCCGACAGCCTGGGGCTCATCTCCTTCCCAGAACACACACATTTTTTAAGCAAAAACAAAAGCACCAAGCAAGAACTACACAAAATCCTTCGTTTTTCTGGAGCCTCTCCTGCTTTCCCCACCTTCGAAGCCGCTGCCCCCGCGACAGCGGTTCTCAAACCGTGCGCCCGAGGAACCCGGGCGCGCTGAGGGGCCCCTGCTCAGGGAGGAGGAGGGCTCGGGGTGCACGCGTCCGCTCAGACATCGGTGACCCCTGCTGGCGTCCAGCCGCCTCTCTCCACTCGCACAGAGGACACACCTGGCCACATCTGGCCGGCCACCGTGCCCGGGGTCCGCGGAGCCCGCCGCTGGCCCGCCCGGACTCGTCGTCTGGGGAGGACCCCGAGCGCCCTGTGAGCTCCCCCACCGAGGGACCCGCCTAGTCGCCTGGAGGGAGGATGGGACGTGCTGGGAGCTGGATCCGGCGGGAGGGTCCCCGGGACCAGACCCCCACCCGGCAGCTCCGCCTGCTCACCGAAGCCCCTCAAATCCGGGGCCAGCGGTCCCTCCCAGGGCGCCCGACCCCACGCCGGCCACAGGTTCGTCGGAGTGTGCCAGACGGCGACAGGTGGGGACCCTTGGCCAGCCCCTCCCGTCCAGGCCCCAGGCCCGCAGAGGCCACCCTCCCCGGGAGGCTGTCCCCTGGGGAAGAGGACAGCGCGGCGGCTCTGCCTCCGGCCCCTGTGCAGGGTCCCGGCTGCGACCAGCCCCAGACGGGCCTGGCCACCAGAACCCTGCCCGCTCAGCCACCGGTCCTGCACACACGTCCCAGGCCCTCGGCCCCAGGTCCCCGCAGGGGCCGTCCCGCTGCTGTCTGACCGGGCGCACGGCCGCCCCACCCCCGGCCCCTCCGCACTCCAGACGGGACCAGCTCACGCGCCGAGTTCACTTCGAGGGAAACTTAAGCAGCCACACATGGGCCGTGGCTCCTCCGGCGTGGGGTGGCGCAGCCCCTGACCCTGCCGGAGCCGGGCGGGGGCGGGCTGCTGGTGCCCCCCAGAAGCACGGGGCCACCTCGGGGGTTTCCCTGCCCCCGTCAGCCAACCAGGGCGTCACCGGTCTGAGAGCTGGGCGTCCAGCCCAGGGAGCCCGGACCGTGAGGCCGCAGACACAGCACACACACACACTCACCAAGACCAGACTGCACAGACACACCTGGGACAAGGGGGACCCACACGGACAGGGCGCGAAGCGGCCGGGGGGCAGGGGTCTCCGCCGGGGCAGGCGAGGGTGGGGGGTGGCGGTCAGAAACGGGAAGACCAGAGGGCGGGTCAGAGACACACCCGGAGCGGCACAGCCGGGCCCCTGGCCGCCCGGACCCCTGCTCTGACCCGAGAGTGCCCGCCGGGAGCCAGGCCCCGGAGGGGTGGCAGTGTCACAGGAGCAGAGCCACCGTCCCCCGCACCCACCCCGTCCCCCGCACTCCACGGGGCAGGGCCGCCTCCCAGGCCGCCCAGGGACACGCACCCCCTCGTGGGCGCGAGGGGCAGAGTGGCCGCCTGCACGCCGGGGGGGCTGCGGCTGACAGGTGTGCCCCCCGGGGGAGGGCAGGCCCTGGGTCCCGGGAGGAGGCGGGGCCAGGTGGGCCCCGGGAAGCCACGGGGTCCCGGGCGGGCGGGGACACAGGACACACGGGGGGGTGGGGGGCGGGGAGACGGAGGATCGGCGAGCAGGAAGCGGGGGCGGAGCCCGGGGGCTCCCGCGTGTCCTCACCTGCAGTCCTGCTCTCAGGGCCAGCACCTCGTCCCCCGAGACCGAGTGCGCGGGGAAGGGCCCAGAAGGGCAGTGACATGGTTAAAGGCACTTGGGAGGGGCCGGAGGGCAGATTGGGGGGGGCGGGAGAGGAGAGAGAGAGAGAGAGAGGCTGAGACCAGAGTTGCTGGGAGGCAAGGGGAGCCGGGCCAGGGGCACGCGGAGCCGCCTCGGGCCGCCGGGGCCTCGGACGGACGGACGGACGGACAGACGGACAGATGGGCGGGGCACCGAGGCCGCTGTCTGCTCCCCCAGGCCAGACCGGCTCCGGTCCCGGGTCCGTCTCTCGGCCCCTGGGAGGGGCCGGTCGCTGCTGGTCTCTTGGCCACTTCGGGGCAGAAGCGCTGCCCCCTCGGCCACCCGGGGCACCAGCCGTCCCCCCTTCCCAGGGGCCTGGCGGGGAGCGTGCCCTCTCCTGGCCGTTGGAGCGGTGGGCTCGGCCCACCTCCGCCTCCCCAGCCGAGGACCAGCAGGGCACCAAGGGGGCGGGCAGGGGGGCCGGAGGGCAAGGTCTCTGGCCTGTGGCCGCACCCCCCTCTCCTGGCGTGCTGGTGGACTGCAGCTCAGGGAACTCAGCAGGGCACACCCGGCCGGTTGGGGGGAGTTCATCAGCCGTGACGTTGTGGGGTGCCCTGGACTTTCTCTGTGACCCCAGGAAGTCTGGGGGTGCCACCCCATCTGCCTGCAGCAGGGCCGGCCCACAGCGCCCCCCTCAGGGTCGCCTGCCTGCTGCAAACAGAACAGGTGGGGCCTGCAGGGCCCCCCAAAACACAGGAGACTCTGGGCTACAAAAGGAGCCTTCCCACTCCCCCCAGAAACCTTCGACAACCCAGGACCTGCCCCTCAGCCAGTCCTCAGTACGGCCCTCCTCCACCGCCGGCCCGGACCCCGGCGCTGGCCCAGCTGGGACTTCGCAGAAGCCCCCGAAGGGGTCCAGGGCCTGCCCCCCCAGACACACGGACACACAGGCACGGACCCAGCGGCCCCCGCCAGCACCCGGCATTCACCGCTGAGCAGGGCCCAGGCACAGCCCCGCACGGAAGTCCCGGCAGGGGGGGCGGGGGGGCGGGTGCGGCAGCAAGGCTCGCAGGTGCGGGGGGCGGGGACACTGACCTGGGGGTCGGCTCCGGCTGCGGCTCCTTCCTTGAAACAGAAGCAACAAGAGTGTCAGGGTCGGCCCCGCCTGCACCCCCCCACAGCCCGGTCCGGTGGGCTTCCCTCGGCACCCAGCGCAGCCCGCCCCGCCTGGCCCAAACCCGCAGCCCAGGGCCCCGGGGCCCCCAGGAGGCAGCGGGTCCTGGAGAAAAGGGGGTCTCCGGCCATTCCAGCTTCTCTCCCGGAGCCCCCCTGCTCCCTGCCTCCGCCCCAGGGCCGGCAGGCCCACCAGGCGGAGAATCTCCCCCTCGGACGTTGTCCCGCCCGCCCTGCACCCACCCGGCCCCCACAGTGCATTTCCCCTGGAGAGGGCGTCCCAGGTCACTGTCCTTCCCAGTCGAGGCTGCTGGCGCCCCGCGTCGTCCAGGCTGGCTTCTCTCCGCTCGCCAGCCCGCCCTGGGTTTGGACTCACCCCTCCCTCCCTCCCTCCCTCCCTCCTGCATCTTTCCCTCGGGGGCAGGGGAAACCGGGCGCACCGCCCACCCCCAGCTGGGGGCCAGGCTGGACATCCCGGCCCGTCCAGTCCACTTCGCTCCTGCCCGGCAACACGGCTCAGCCCCCGACGACTGTCTGTGTCCAGCTGGGACCCTGCCCGGGGCTCCCTCCAGTCTCCCCGCCGTCCCAGCACACGCTGGGAAAAGCCACCTCGCCTGTCCCCGTGCCCAGCGGCTGTTCCCCCGCATGGCCGGCCTCTTCTCTGGAGCTCTTCACAGCCCCCCCCAAACTGCCCGCCGCCTGTCACCCGGCCCCGTCCCCGCAGCGCCCCGCTCTCCACACGGGGACCCGTGTGCGCTCCCGTCTCTGTCTCGGCCGAGGGCCACGGGGCCGGGGGCTCAAACCACAGAAACGGACCCTCTCCCGTCCCGGAGCCCAGGGGCCCACGCGCAGGGGCCGGAGCGCTCTCCGAGGCTGCAGGGACAGTCCCTCCGCTCCTGGCGCGCCCAGGGGGCCCCGGGCTGGCGGCCACCTCCACCCGTCCCCCCTGTCTCGCGTGAGGGTGCTCGTAATTGGGTTCAGAGACACGTTGAGATCCTTCGCTCAATCACGTCCACAGAGGCTTCTCCAAACTAAGGCCGCGTCCACGGGCTCCAGGGCACGCACACGTCTTCGGCGGGGGGCCAGCGCTGCCCCCCCCACCCACCAGGGCGGCTCTGCCCGGCTCAGGGCTCTCGACAGGGACCGCCCTCCTCTGCGCGCCCACCCCACCTCCGTGCCCAGCACTCGGGCTCCGCCAGGCCCCTCCGTGGCCGCCCCGTGCGGGGGTGACCTGCCCCTGCTGAGTGCCTGTGGGCGGCAGGACCCCCAGGAGGACGGACGAGCCCCCCCGCCGCCGGCCACGCGGCTGCCGGCCCCTCTGCTGACCTGAAGGTGAGCCCGGATTTACTCTTGAGGTTCCGCAGCAGCTCCAGCTGGTTCAGCGGGGGGATGAGTCTGCGGGCGGGAGAGGCCGGTGAGCTCCCGGGGCAGGGGTGCGGCCTGTGCCCCGCAGGAAGGCGGGCAGAGGAGAGGTTGGGGGCGGGGGACCCCGGGCCCTAGGGCACCGCCCACATCCTCTCGCTGCACCCCTGGGCGTGCACAGTGGCCGCTGGCACAGTGGAGGTGGGAGCGGAGCCCGGGCCTCGTCCCCGGGGCCACGGCCCCGACTGTGCCCAGGCGGGGGGCGCCCGCCCGCCCGCCCCTCTCCCAGCCCCGAACACCCCCGAGGGCGACACACAGGACCCCACGAGATCAGGCTGCCGGGCCCTCTCTACAGAGTCAGGGCAGGTTCAGGGTTTTGGGGAGGCTGCCAGCCCAGGGAGGGGCCCTGGGACGCCGGACAGCGGGCCCGGCTCTGCTCCAGGGCCCCGTCGGCCACCAGGCGGGCCCAGACGGAACCTCTGTGAAGAACCAAGGCCCGGCCTGCACACCGGGGCGGGGTTCCGCAGGCCCGGGGGGCTCCTGGGGAGGCCCCAGGCTCCCCGCCTTCTGGTCTCTCCCTCCTGACCCAGCCACCCCCACCGTGACGCCCCACTTGGCCATCAGTCTGCTGAGTCCCAGTCCCTCCGGCCTCCGGCGTCCTGGCTCTGGGCCCCCCGGGCCGGCCGGGGCTGTGTCAGAGCCCCACCCCGGTCCCCTCCGCTCCTGGGCCCGCCCCCAATCCGCGCTCAGCCCTCCGGGTCCCTCTGTCCTTCTGCCTCCAGGGCAGGCCGGAGCCCGGCCCCAGACACCCGCCCCTCTCCGTGGGACGGGCCTCTGCCATTTCCACACTCAAACACTCGGCGGTTCCGCCGGACACGTGACCCTGACCTTAGCCACTGTCCTCTGGCTTTGCCCTGGCCTGTCATCGGCCCCTCTGCAGGCCCAGCATGGCCAGGCCGGGCAGTGCTGCCCAGACACGAGGGGAGGGGTGCTCCCACGAGCCCACCCTCCTTCCCCCAGCCAGGGCTGCCCGCTGTCCGCGCGGGCCAGCACCGAGCAGGAGGCTGGGCGGTCAGTGCGGGTGCTGTGGGCACAGTGGAGCCTCCGGGACTGGACCCGGGGCACAGGGGGGCACAGGGTGGCCCCCCCACGCAGGTCTGAGGGAGAGACAGGTGGACGGGACGCCCTGCCCTGGACACACAGCAGCGGGGGGCAGCACGCAGGCGGGCAGGCTGGGGCAGGGGCGAGCAGGCACCACACGCAGCGCGTCACCGCTGAGGGCGGTCTCGGTTGGGGAGGGCGAGGGTTCGGTGTGCTGGCAGGAGTGGGGAGCATGTCAGGGGCACCCCCGGGGCACAGCAGCAGCTGGTCAGGGGACCAGCTGACTTGGGGACGACTCCAGCCGTCCAGGCCCAGGGCCGGGGGCGGGGCCCCTCTGCGGACCCCGGGAGAAGCGGACCGGCTGCAGAGACGAACCAGGAAACCTCCCGGGGGGAGGGGCCTGTCGGGGCCTGAGCGGGGTCTGCCCAGCCGCCTGGCAGCCGGGACCCCAGGAGTCCCAGGTCCACAGTGGGGGGACCCGCCTCCCACCACCACCTCCTCCTCCTCGGAGGCCTGGGGTCAGGTCCCTCTCCTCCCGGGGCCTGTGTCCCCCGCTCGCTGGAGCGAGCCCCAGACCCCCGCTGCCTGGACAGAGGACCCCGGCGCAGGGCGGGCTGCCTGCCAGGAGCAGGGACCACTGGGGTGTCCCCAGGCGGGGAGGGGGAACCCCCAGCTGCACCGCCTCTGTGCCACGGGACGGGGGCCCGTGGGGCGAGGGGGGAGGCGCTGGCACGACCCCCCGCCACCGAGACAAGGCAGGGTGCAGGACAAGGACCGGGGGAGGACCTGGGACAGACGGGTCCAGTGCAGGAGAGCGGCTGAGGCGGAGGCGGGGCACAGTCGGGAGAGGACGGGGGTGGGGGAGGAGAGGGAGGCACACCCCAGGCCGGGCCACAGGCTGGGGCAGGGTTCGGGGGTCGCCGGGCGGCCCCGCGACAGCCCACACGGAGCACAGACCACACCACACGTGTGTCCCATGCAGGTCCTACCTGGAGGCCCCGTAGGTCTGAGCTTGCGAGCTTTCAAGAGTTTTCACACACACACACAAGGGCAGAGAACGTAAATTAAAAAAAAAAAAAACGGGATAAGAAAAGAAAACGAAAAAGGGGTCGAGGAGAGCGGGGGAAACAACAGAACAGAGAAGGTTAGCGCGGGGCCCCCGCCTCGGCTGGGGGGCCAGGGGCGCGAGGCCGCGGCGTCCCACGGGTGGCAGAGCGTCCCACACGGACGCCGGTGGGTGCGGGCCGCGCCCTCTCCCAGGTGACACGTGGCCCCTGAGGCCAATGGCAGGCGGGGACCGCCTCTGGGTGCCAGGCCAGTCCTGACTTCAGGACCCTCCGCAGGCGAGGGCCCCCAGGGTGCAGGCGCCTGGGACAGACGAGGGCAGGGCGGCACCCACCCACCTGGGGCACCAGGCCCAAGTGGACACCGGGTGGCCACCAGACCGGTCACCTCAGGCCCCTGTCTAAGCCAGGGCTGGGCACAGACAACCCCAGGGTGGCCATTCCCGTCGGGGCTGCCAGCTGCACTTGCCTGGGCAGCACTCCGCCTGCTGACCGCTGGGCCTCACGGCCTGGGGCGCCTCCGCCAACCACACCCAGGCTGGGCCTCCCACCCCCTTGTCCACCCGAGGCCACCCGGAACCCCGAGGTATGCGGGTCTCTGGGCCCTAAAGCCCCACTGCGGTCTGGGGTCACCCCCTTTCCTCTCGGAGACCCTGGTCCTCCACAGCCGGCGGCCGCCCCAGCGGTCCCGGTGCCTGGAGCTCCGCCGAGGAGGAGGAGGAGGAGGAGGAGGAGGAGGAGGAGGAGGAGGAGGAGGAGGAGGAGGAGGAGTTCCAGTGGGGGGAGGGGCGTGGGGGGAGGGGGCGAAAATAAAAGCTGCGGGTCATGAGACGAAGCGAAATCAACGGTGAAATAAAACACACGCAGAACTCCGTTTTGAAAAGAAATACATTTTAAAGGAACAAAAGAAACACAAATCGATGAAAAGAATGGACAACCAAAAACGGGGTTTCTGGGCGGGTGCGGGGGTGGAGACCGGAGGCGGCCGGGGCGCGGCGGCGGCGGCGGCGGCGCGGCGGTACCTGTACATGGGCACGGTCACCGTGCGCTCGTAGTACTGCCAGGTGGAGTGCAGGTCCGTGCGCGACAGGTTGGTGGCGTAGAACCTCCAGGCGGACTGCGGGGGAGACACGGCGGTCGGCCACCGGCCGGGGCTGGGGCCGCCGCGACCCCGCGGGGCCCTCCCGCCCGGTCCCGCCCCCACGCGCCCCGGCGTGCGCTCTGTAGATGGGGCCGCACGGCCGACGCCTGGCGGGTGGGGGCTGGCCGTGGGGCAGGTCTTCCGCGGCACCAGGCAGCAACAACCTGCCCCACGCTCGCTTCCCGCCTCCCCAGTCCTGAGGGGAGGAGCCAGCCTGAGCACCCTCTGCAGCTGGGGGACCCGCACACAGGCCCCACCCTCCAGGCGCCGTGGCTCAGTTTGCCCCCCCCCCCCCGCAAACTGCTGGTGAGGCCTCCCCACACCTGGCCCGGGCCTCCGCCCCCAACTTCCGGCCGTGTGGGGAAACGGCCAGGGTTCCCTTCGCCCTTTGAAGCCCACGACCCAGTGGCGGCTGGTACCTCCCCACTGCTGCGTGACTCTCAGCAGGACTGGGCCCCGCCTTCCCATCACCTGTCACCTGGGAGTGAACCACCCCACCCCCAGCAGCGGCCACCCTCAGGGCCCCCCCAGGCCTTGCCCCCCACTCTGGTCTGCACAGCCCCCCGGGGTTTCCTTCCGAGGGACTCGGGACGTGTTCTCGCAAGGGTTCTGTTTAAGGCTGCACGCTCTTCCCTGTGACGGCAACACCACTCTGTGCCCCGCTCCCTCCAAGGACGGACACTTGGGGTGAGTGCGGCCGCTGCAGACGCCAGTGTGGACGCCCGGTTTCAGTGCTTTGGGGCGCACGCTTAAAAGCAGGTCGCGGGGTCACATGACGGTTGGTTTTCTCAGGGACCCCAGACTCCCCCAGGGCGGTACCCCTCCCACCCCGCCCCCGGCAGTGCGTCGTGGGGCTCCCCCCTCCCCCCGTTTCCCCCTCGGAGAGCTGGGGGCTCACTGCAGTTCAGGTCTGCATCCCCCTCGGGTGCCGGCCCCCGCACACCTCTGGGGAGACGGTGTCTGTGGGAGCCCGTGCCCATCCCCCAGTGGGCGGTGAGAGTCCTCCGGACACTCTGGGCCCCAGACGCTCATCAGGAACCTGGTGTGCAAATGCCCTCCCCCGTGGCGACGTCCTCAGTCCCCCTGCACCGTTGAAGGGCGGTTTCTCCAGAACGGTGACTCTTCTCCGGCGGGAGTTCTCGGGACGGCACATGTGTCACCCCCCTCCCCCGGCCCCTGGGCCCCCCCCGTTCATCGTCTCACGGAGGGTCCGCGTCCCTGAAGTGTCGCCTGTCCCGCGGCCCCCGGGGCTCCCTCCCTCTGCCCTCGGGTTCCAGCCGCCTGGCCCCAAGGTGTCCTGCTGCGGGGTCCGTCTTCTCTCCCCGGAGTTCCCTGGACTTCCCGGGTTTGGAGATCCGAGACTCTCACCAAACCCGGGAAGTGTCCAGCCTTATTTCTCCAAATACTCTGCGCCCCTCGCTCTCCTCCCTCCTCCTCCTGCCTCCAGCTTTTGCTGAAAACTGGATGTGTTGGACAGTGTGACGCGGAGTCCCCGGGGGCCAGGCTCTGCCCGCTCCCCGGGGTGAGTTCACCGGTTCTTCTGAACCGACCCGCACCCGCGGCGTTCCTTGTCGCGTGTAGTCACTCGGGCCTGTGTTCCATCAGCTGGGCCGGCGGTGTGACAGGTGTCCTCAAACCCGAGACCCCGAAGACGCAGCCGTCTCCGCGCGGCCCTGCGCCGGGCACGGCCTGCGCCGGGCAAGGCCGAGTGCACCCCTGCGCTCGCCGGCACTCCCTGCCCGCCGGAAGCCCGAAGGTCAGCCCGAGGCTTAGGGCCTTCCCCAGCCACCTCTGACCCTGCATCCGGCCGTGGCCTTCGAGGTCCCCCGTGTGTGGGGGTCTTTCCAGAATCCTGCCTTCCCCATGTCCCCTCCCGGACCTGTCCCTTCCTTCCAGGTGTCTCAGCCTGTCCGTTGCTGGTCCTGACCGCAGTCCGCGGCCCCAGAGGCTGCGGCCAGCCCGCCTGCCTGTGCGTCCGGCAGACGCCGCCTGGGAGGCTGCCCCGGCCCTGGGAGCGTGCGGCTGAGGGGCGCACAGGCAGGACAAGCAGGACACGCAGCAGCTGCCGCGTCCCGGCGGCAGGGCCCACCGTGTGAGCCGGGAGCACCGACGGGGCTCACGCGCCTCCAGGCCCCCAGAGCGGGGGTCTCAGCCCCCACCCCCACGTGCAGAACGCCTCTGCCAACCAGGGCACCGTGAAAGGCGGCCGGTGGCAGCGGTGACGGCCTGACCCGGGGCCCACGCTGCTGCACGGCCGCGGGCCGCCCACCCAGGCCTCAGCACACGGGCCAGACTCCCCACGCCCGGCACGTCCCTGCAGCGTGGCCAGGACCCGTCCACAGACAGCAGACACACGGGTGGGACTTCGCTCCTGCGCACGGCAGGGCCGGGCCGGGGGCTCCAAGGGCCCCGACGGGGGGGGGGAGGCCCGCCTGGACTCACCTGGATCAGGCCCGCAGCGGGGTTCCGCCTCTTCTCGAAGTGCTTCTGCCGGTGCTGCTCCTGGACTTTCAGGGCGAAGCCGGACCCCAGAATGCCCTGCAAGCCACCGGGGTCAGACAGCGCCCCACCCCTGCCTCATCGGGCCCAGTCACCTGGACACCAGGCCGCGGGGGAACACAGCTGGCCTTGGGGTAAAGGACATGCCAGTGTCGAGCATGGCGGGGCCCACGCTGAGTGCGTCCCGTCCCTGGTCTGTCCACGAGGCGGCAAGCACCAGCCAGGCTCCCGGCCACGGGCCGCCCAGGACAGCGGCCTCCCCGAGGCTGCCTGCCACTCGCCAGCTTCCCTCGGCCTGGCTGGCCAGCCGGCCCTGGACAGAGGAGGAGCCCTCGTCCCTCTGCAGCAGACGGGCCCTCGGCCCCTGGAGCCCCGACGGGGGGGTGGGTCACCGTGCAGCGCTGGTCCCGCGCACGAGGGCCCTGCTGGCCAGCCCCGCCCAACTGGGAGGAGCAGAGGCTGACCAAGACACGGGGGGTCAGAAGCCACAGCCCGGGACTCTCAGAGCCCTCTGACGCTGTGGTGTGGAAGCCACCAGCTCCCAGCCCGGGCAGCCCCGCCGGGGATCCAGGAAGGGTGCCCCTTGCCCCTGGGCTGCCACCTCCAGCGCCCAGCGGGCTGCGCGCCCACGTGCCCCAGGGTCACCCAGGAGCCCGAGACCCCACCCCACCCAAGGCAGAAAGGGAGCGGGTCTCACAGCAGGAAGAGCGAAGAAGGAGACGCCGATGAGGGTGAACGTGGCCGCCAGGAGCCGCCCATTCCAGGTCTGGGGGTACTTGTCGCCGTAGCCGATGGTTGTCAGCGTGATCTGCAAGACAGCGAGCGTGGTCACGCCCAGGCCGGGCAGTGGCCACACCGGGGCCAGTGGTCCTGCACCGGCCTCTCCTCCTCAGCCCCAGGGGGCTGAAGGCCAGGGCTCAGCACCGCCGACAGGGCAGGCCGGACCCTGGGCAGTGGCGGGGACGCCAACACCACACCACCCCCGAGGGCCCCGGTGGGGCCAGGGACAGCCTCAGCCGACCTTCAACCCTGCAACAAGCACACCGAAACTCCCCAGGTCTCCCCTCTTTCCCCGACGCACAAGTTGGGGGTGGGGGGCATCTGAAGGGTCTGTCCCCGCGTCACAGCCGGGAGGGCCCAAGAGGCAGCTGTCCCACTGGGCGCAGGACGGGGAGGCACAGGGAGAGCCCGAGAGCGGACAGTGCTGAGGGGAAGAGCAAGTGGGGAGGGGGCGGGGGGGGCATGGGGCGGGGGTGTGGGCTGCCTTAGGGGGCGACTTGTGAGCTCAGGCCCAGAGAGACGGAGGGGCCGTGAGCAGGGGCCCAGCGGCCCAGAGGGCTGAGTTTCCCTTTTGCAAACTTTTCTGTCCCTGAACGGGACAGGCAGGATGGCCTGCCCACCCTTCCAGCGGGGGTCGCACACAGGTGGGCCACAAGGGAGGGAGGGGGGAGGGAGGGAGGAAGACGATGACACTGGCCACGTAGCCCCCCCCCCCGCTGGGCCCCTCCCCACCCACACACACCATCAGAGCACCCGCCCCCAGCCGGCCAGCAGGTGGTCCCAGGGAGAAGTCCCTGGCCAGAGAGAGCCCAGCCGTGTCCAGTCCAGGCCCCGGGGGTCAGGGGCACACGGGGGTGTGGACGAGCGTCCCCGAGGAAAGACACGCCCGGCGATCACATCCGTGTCGAGGACACCGAGCCCGGCTGGGACTCACCAGGCCCCACCAGAGCGCATCGGCGTAGGTGTCGAAGTGGTCGTTCTCGCCCTTCTCCGCCAAGTACACCAGGAACGACGCCAGGATGAGGCACAGGAAGCCGATGTACCAGGCGGTGACCAGCTCCTGGAGAGTGGGCTGCGTCAGAGCGCCGGGCCGGCGTCCAGCCCGCCCACCCACCCCCGGGAGGCTCCGTGTCTCCGGAGCTGGTGGCTGCCCAGCCACATGGCCCCACACTCGCGGCGGGCGATGGGCGGCTGGTTCCCCTGGGTGTCCCCACACCCGTGCCCCTCCCTCCCTCTGGGAGGACAGCCGCTGAGGACAGTCCGGCATGTACGTCCACCCAGGTCTGACAGCGTCCCAAAGAGCTCACAGGCTGTCAGAGGCCAGAGAACGTTGGAACCTGAGACCCGACCTCCACTCCCCTGAGCTTGGTGGAGACCCCCAGACTGCCTGCTGTCCCCGGGGGGGCCAGCACCTCAGCACCCTGGGGGGCCAACACCCTTGGTCCTGCTGACCGGGCCCCCGCTCAGGGCTCGGACCAGCCGGACAGTGCGCAGGGGCAGTGTGGGCCCACCCACGAGCAGGGCGGCACAGCCAGATGGGGCAGAGTCTGGACCCCCTGGGGGCTCCCTAGATGTGGGGAGGGGCTTGAGAGGGGGCGTGGCTGCAGCCACTTCCGGGTTCCACTGCCAGTGGCCACCGCCGGCCTCAGCCTAAGTGGGTGTGGCTGGGGCATCAATGGGGCGCTCCCACCTGCCTGCGGCGGAGCCAGCGGGGCAGAGGGGCAAAGGGACCTGCTGGGCCCTTCCGCAGCATCTGGCTCACCTTGCTGTGGGCATAGACCACGGAGCCCAGCAGCTTCCAGGTGCCGCCGCGCCGGTCCATGCGGATCATCCTGAGGATCTGCAGGAAGCGCAGGCTGCGAAGCGCGGACGTGGCGAAGACGTTGCCCTGGGAGCCGGCGGCCAGCACGGCAATGGACGCGATGAGCACCATGATGTCTGCGGAGACGGGAGCTCGAGGAGGCTGCGGGCTGGGGGGCTGGGGGGCTGGGGCGCTGCCCCGCCGGGGTTCCAGGAGGGTGGGCAGACGGACGGTGGCTGGTGTCCGCCCAGCCCTGCCCTGGGCACAGCCGCCCTGCACCCCTCTGCCTCTCCCTCCGGGAGGCCACGTGGGCGGGGCATCCCACCGTCTCGCCTGGCCTCCCCGCTCCTTCCAGGGCCCCTGTCCGCCCTGCACCCCCACGCGGGCTCACCGATCACACAGAACGGCTTTCGGGCGAACTTGAGACGCCCCCTCCAGCCGCGGTACCGGCAGCAGCAGCCCGCGGCCCAGATGCGCACGAAGTACTCCACTCCGAACACCACGATGGTCACGATCTCCTGCAGGGGGCGCAGCTGAGCCACCGCCGGGCCGGGGCCGCGGGGGCGTGGCCTGGCTCCGCTGGGCCCTCCCCCAAGCCCGGGACCAGGGCTCCCCAGACGCGCCTTCTGGACTCGGGAGGCCCCTCCGTCCCCAACAGCAACGCAGAGATTACACTGTGGTCACCGTGGCGCCCGCCCCTGCCCCTGGGGGGCTGCTGGGAGCGTCTCAAGCCCCGCCCCACCCGTGTCTGCCCGGGGACCCCCCGCGTGTCCGTGGTGGAGGGCCACTCGGGCCCTGAGGCTCAGGGAGGGCCGGGGGAGGGGCAGAGGAGGCGGGGCTTCAGGTGCCGAGTGTGGCTCGGGCTGCGCACAGCCGGGTGTTGGGGGAAGGGCGGGGAACCCGGGGCCCGAGGCTGCTCCCGCCCGCCCCGGGCTCACCAGGATGTAGAGCGCGCCCTCCGAGCTCTTCTCGTACTCCTTAATGGTGGAGAACACGGACAGCACGAGGCAGGAGAAGACCAGCAGGAACCTGGGGCCGGGGAGGTGCGGTCAGCGGCGGAGGCGGGGGGTGGGGCGGCACAGCGGACACCCCACACTCTGCCCACCCACCCCCCACCTGTCCCGGTCGGCCCTGACAGCTGCGGGCCCTGCGGACAACCCGGACTCAGTGTTAAAGGGCACAGGCCTGGCCTCCTGGGCTGGAGGCAAGACCCCGACCTGCCCACGCAGCGGCGAAGGCAGGGCCCGCAAACCCCGCGCTCGCTGTTCCCCGTGTACCACGTCCCCTCTCCGGGCTCCGAGGCGGAGACTGCCTGTCTCCCGGTTAACGCTGGCCTTCACACGCAGCCGCCCCGGAGCCCTTGCCCGGGTCCGTGTGACCTGGGGTCCATGGTCGGGCATCCCATGCACGGACCTGCGTCCCTGGCCGCCCTGTCGGTCCCTGACCGTCGGGCACCAGGAGCCACTGTGGAGGCAGCGCGGACGCCGAGGCCTCGTGCAAAGCGCCCACCAGAGCCAACATGGGGGTGGGGTCTCAGGTCGCAGAGCCCCTGACGCCCGAGGACCTGGTCCCAGGCTCCCGAGGGGCGCAATGCACACGAAGAGGGGCGGAGGGACAAGGGCACACGCCACGCCACGCCCAGGTGACGCCCCTCCCCCGAGCTCCGGCTCAGCTCCCTAGTGGGGGAGGGTCGAGGCCCTTTGGGGCCAACGCTGCAGGGTCCGCCCTGACCCTCCGCAACTCCCACTCGGCCCCCCTGCCTGCGCCCAAGCCCACGCATCACGCACGCTCAGCGCCCGTGAGCCTCGGGTGGCCCTGCCTCCTGCCCTCCACAGCGCGGCGGTGCGCCCAGAGACGCAGGCCTCCGCCTCCGCCTCCCCCTCCCCCGCCGCGGGGCTGACCGCCCTCGGGGGACCCTGGACGCGGCAGAGGCGACAACAGAGGGGCCGGGCACAGGCAGCGCCTGCTGACACAGACGGAGCGCCGCAGAGAGACAGCCGCGTTTCAAAACCGCAATTAATTTCCTTTGCTCGTTAGCCAATTTACTCAATTAACTGAGCCCTGGAAAAATGTCCAGATATCTCGTGTGCCTTATATTCATAATTGCCTGTCTGCCTGGGGGTGTCGTCTCCTGACCCCGACGTGGGGGAAGGAGCGCCCGCACCCGGAGTGGATCCACCAGGGGCCCAAGGTGGGAGACTCCAGGCTGGGACCCAGAGGTGGGGCTCGGGGGACACGGAAGTCAGCACCCCTCCCAGACGGGGCACCCGGGCCTGGCCCGGCTCCGTGCCGGGAGGCGGGGAGCCAGGGGAGGCACGAACCCTGGAGGGCTTCCCTGAGGAGGTGTCCATGGGGGCGCTCCTGCAGGCAGGGTGGGGCTGGCCCCATCCCGGGGGCCCAGAGTGCAGAAGGCCGGGGAGCCCTGGCCGAGGGGACAGCGAGCAGGGGCGGCACCCCCAGGACTCGACTGGAGAGCGCGGCAGCAGCTGCCTGACTCGGTGACACCCGGGCGGGGCGCTCGGACTCCCAAGGTGACTGGGCCCTCGCGGCCCCGCTTCCGGAGGGCCTGCCGGAACATTCCTGGCTGGCCCAGCCGCGCCGTGCAGCCTGTCCCCGTGGGCAGGGGCCCGGACCCAGGGGATGGATGCGCCTGCCCCCGCCCCAGCGGCCCATCCTGTGCGTGCCAGCAGCAGCTCCGGGCTTGTTTTCCAAGTTTCGGAACAGACGGTCACAGATGGCTCCCGGTGGGGGCGGCGTCTCGCCGACTCAGGAGGGAGGCTCCCGACGCCCGCACCCGAGGGGGAGGGGAGGGGGCAGACAGGGGCTGCGCGGGTCCCCCGTCGAGTCTCCAGAGCAGAGACGGCGGGTCCCCACAGGCCCAACTCTCCGGCCCAGGACGGGGCCCCAGAGGCAGCTCGGGACGGGAACCCCCAGACTGCAAGGCCTCACCCCGCTCCTCCAAGCAGCCACACAGCAGAGGCACAGGTTTCCGGGCCTCTCCCGGCGGTCAGCACCTTGGTGACCAGCCACCACCCCGCCCAGCACACAGCAGTGTCTCGGGCCCCCGATGGGGAACTAGAATTGGGGAAACTGAGGCCTCTGGCCTCCTGGTCTCCGGGCACAGCACCCTCAGGGACAGGGGACACTTCACAGAGGTCCAGCCCTGGGGGGACGGATCTCAGACACGAGGCCCCGCCCTCCAGCAGGATGATGGGGATGCCACCCACCAAGGGGTCACCCCGGGCAGGTCTAGACCCCCACAGACACCCCGAGACGGGACCGTGGCAGGTGACCCCGCCCGTCTTCCCAAAGAGCTTTCCCGGCCAAGCGTCCTGCCTGTGGGGAGCTGGCATCCCCTTCCCCGCTCGGGCGCCTGTCCCTGCCCTGCCCTGGTGGCTCTGTGGAGGTGGCCCTGTGTGCCCAGAGCGCTGACCCCCTCAGGCCCCAGAGGACAGAGGAGGCCCCAGGGGACCTGGGTCCCTTCCTCCGAGAGAAGAGAGAGAGAGAGAGAGAGAGATGGGCAGGCGGGAGCCCGGGGGTCGCCACCGGCCCCCAGCCAGGAACCGTCCAGGCTGCCAGGGGAGAAGAGACGGGGAGGTGGTTCCCCGCAGCCCGGGGCTAATTATGAAAATGAATTCAAAGTGGAGAGCCGATGCTGGCAGCGGTTGCCAAGGAAACAGCATCTCGAGCAGCTGGTCCCGATTCCAGGGGCCAAGACGGGCAGCGGGAAGGGCAGCCAACACGGGAAGCCACCTGGGCGGCCAGTGCTCACCTGGGCGGCGGGGAAAGGGCCCCCACGCCCCAGCTCAAGAGAGCATCTGACACCCGCCCAGGCCCGCTGTGTGCCTGACCGCCCCAGCCACTGGCCGCCAGGAGGGAGGCCGCCCCGCACTACGGGGCCCACCACACAGGACATGCCTCTCAGACAGACGTCGGGGCTCCTGGGTGCAGGGCGGCGGCGACAGGACCCTCTACAGACAGCCGAGGGCTCAGGGCAGGGTCCGGAGAGCCGGGCGGCAGGTGCGGGAGGGGCCCCGGGCGGCGGGAGCGGGTGGCAGCCCCGGGGTGGTCAGCCCCAGCCGCGCCTGCAGGTCGCAGGGGGCACAACTGCTGCAGGTGCGTGTGCATGCTGGGGGGGGCTGTCTCCAGGCTGAGACCCCCGCTTCTGTCTCCCCCCCACCCACCCACCGGAACGCAGGAAATACCTCTTTTTGGGAAAACGTGACAGAGCCATGTCACCGCCTTCCTGGCCCCTCCCCCAGGGGTGGGGGCAACGGGGCGGGTGCCTCGGCCGGGGGCAGCCCCCACTGCACGGCCCCCCAGCCCAGACTCCCTGCCCCCACCGAAGACTGACTCGGGGGGTGGCAGGGGGTGTCCATCTCATGGTAAGGGCACAGGGGACAAGGGAGTCCAGGGTGGGAAGACAGGGAGTCGTGTCATAGGGCCCCTCCCCCCGCCGCCCCTGCGGGCGGCTCTCCGGCAGACCGTGGGGGGAGGTGGCTGGGGAGGGGTCCCGATCAAGCCCCCCACAACTGAGGGGAAACAACAGAGGCTAGGGAGCAGCCCCACGGCCCCGCAGCCCCCTCCCCCAGGGGTGCACAGACGCCCCCTCCCAGGGCCCAGGCACAGAGGCCGCGCCTGGTGCTGGGCAGACGGGTGGGTGGCAGCTGGGCTCCCTGGGGAGCCCCGCCCACCGCGCCGGCCAGTGCGAGGGCTGCGGGCGGCTCTCCGCCTGGAATCTAATTTCGTCCCCTAATAAACTGCTGTGCCTCCAGGCCCCGATGGCACTTCCGATCGGCGGAGTGACGGGCAGCCCAGCTGCCGACAGCTGCTCCAGGTGTAAACCAGCCGTGAAAAATGACTTCGCCCGCCCGCCCGCCAGGGTCGGAGGGGGCCAGAGGCCGAGTTTCAGAGGTTGCTGTGCACGCAGAACCCCGTCTCAGGGCTGAGGCTCACCGAGGCGCAGCCCTCCGGCCCACCCGAGGCCACCGGCACCCAGCACCCTGCCTCTACACACAAGTGCTCGAGAGATGCCTCAGACTTGGGAGGCCACAACTCAGGCGGCGTCAGACCCTCAGGGTCCCATCCTGGCTCGGCATTCGAGGCCTTCCCCCGCCCACCTGGAGCCCCCATCCAGCCTTCCCCTTCCCAACACCAGGGCAGCAAGGGGCTCCCGGGGGCCAGCAACCTCAGGGTGGCCAGTGTCCCTCCAAAGCCTCGGCCACAGGACACGGGGCTGTCGAGGTTGGGGTACTAGTTGCCCCAGAAAGAGTAGGCACCCCAGGGAGCCCCAGGCACTCCGGGACCTGCAGGCTGTGTGGGAACACCAGGACCGGAACACGCCACGACCCTGGCAGGAGGCCGGCGGCCTCAGCACGCAGCTTCCCAGGTGCCTCCCGGGCGGCCCCCAGAGAAGACAGGTGCCCACGGAGTGGCGTGCACCCCAGCAGCCACCCGTCCGCACACGGACCACAGGACTGGACAAGGGCTCACCCAGTGTCAGCCGCCTCCACACCAGGAAGCAGTCACCCCGCCCCCGCCCTGGGCCCCCACCCTCCTTATAGACACCGGCCCCACCCAGGGGTCCTCCCGGACACCCCTGACCCTCCCAAGACTGCTTCTCAGCTCTTGCACCCAGGACGCTCTGACTGCATCCCGGCCCGCCACGCCCCCACCGCAGCCGCTGCAGCCCCTCCCGCCTGCCCCCCAGCCTCCCCGGGCAGCGTCTCTGCCCCAGCGACTCTGTACACGCCCCTCCTACGGCCTGGAATTCTCTCCTGCACCCGCAGCCATCACACGGCCGCCTCCTCCTGTCCCCAGGTTCTGTCCTCAAATCATCACCTTCTCTGAGAGGCCGTCCAGCCCCCGATTCCTTCTCCTGTACTCTCTGGGGAAGGGTCCTGTCCCCTGCTTGCCGGGGTCCCCCGCCCTCCTCGCTTGTCCTGCTCACTGGGCTCCCCAAGTGGCACCTACCCACAGGGGTGGCCCCCGTGGCGGCCAAACCCTGGAGGTCAGCTCCAGCCTGAGAG